TGTGCTGAGGGGGTCAACTGATTTCAAGGCTCATTGTAATCTACCTGATTTCAGCTAACAGCTCTTCACAGAAAGGGTTAAAACAACAGGTTTTACCTGAGTAGGAAAGGGAGAGTGAGAGAGCTGAAGATGAGGCTCTATGCCTGCTCTCTGCAGCCTTAACTCTGGGAAATTTTTTTTATTCATTCTGCCTTCCCAAAAAACAAGGTGTGCGTCCTATTTTGGAAGGGGGGGGTGGCGGTGTAAGAAAACATCGTAAGTGAATATTTTAAATCTTTGCATAGTAAAAATACAGGTCAATAAAGTCACAATATTCTGTTAATATTGCCCAGAGGAGGAAGCAATATTGCATCGACTGCAACAGGAGAAATGAGTATCAGAACACTTGAATACTACACTTCAATCTGCCACTAGTATATTCTGTGAGCTCAAATTGGTAACAAGAGCTAAAATTATCAAGACTCGATACTCAAGATTAAGCACTTTATTTAGAAACCTAATGGAAGGATTAGGACTCGTAGTAGAGATGATATCTTTTATTAGACCAACAAGATTTTTGCAAAAAAAGGTTCTTTAATTGCAAGCTTTCAGGCACAAACACCGGCCATCAGGCATTGTAAAAGTTCTCCTGCATAGAAATGATACGGCTACAACCTGGATACCTAATGGAAGGATTCACATACACTTCTGTAGACTTTAGATCAGGCTTCAAATGGCCTGACATGCAAAGTATGCTGTGCACCTAAACTCCCAGTGAAATTGGTAGAAGCTGAAGGAGTTCAGCATCTTTGGAAATGAAGCTGCTCAGTCAGATAGTCAACTCTGTATACTCCAGCTTAAAAATGGGACAAATTCTATCCCAGTTTTCTGTCTACAAAAAAATATAACATTCCTGTCTACAATCTATAAATTCTTTGCAATACTGTATTTATCCAAAACTAAGATAAGCCTTAATTTCAGACCCCCCCCAATAATCAGATTTTAAATATGGAAAATTTATAAATGTGTTATAATTTTTCAGGTATAAAATCTAATTATTGGAGGGTTGTCTTAAATTCATTATCTCCCACTGTTTCAGCACGTAAAGCAGTGGTTGGGGCTATGGGGAGTCAGGCACCCCTTTGCCTTCTGGCCCTTCCACTTTTCCCCCTGCAGCCTCCTTGCCCCCCTCCCCCAGTTTCCCCAGCCTCTGCTCTCCCACACTCTCTGCCTGCCCCCCACCCTGCCGGGCTTACTGTCGGATGCTGCTCAGGCTCTATTCTCTCCTGAGTCGTGGAGCAAAGCACACTGAAACATGGCCCCTGCCAGGCCATGGAGCAGTGTCAGTGCTGCTGACTTGCTGGTCAGAGGATGGAGTTTCTACATGCTCCATGCCCAGGAGGGAAGTGGTGGTGGGGGCCACAAGCTGCAGAGGGAAGTGGAGAGGGGGGCAGGTAGCTGCTATGGGTCTGAGTCTGGTCCCAACCTGGGCTCAGGGCCAGTTGGAGCCACAGCAGCTGCCTACCCTCCCTGCTTTGTATACAAACCTGAGATAAGCCCCCTTCACATCCCTACTGGGTAAAATCGATTTGTCTTAGATTTGAGTAAAAATGGTATTTGCATGTAATCCACTATATAATGACAAGATACTTTATCATAGTGGAAAAAAGTATTTCATTTTCCAAATGCTCTTTTTAAAAACATGCTGTTCCTCTCAGAAAACTCCCCACTGAAGTCCACAGAAGTTTTGCTTGTAGGTAAATCTGGCAGTTGTTGCTATGTTCTGAAGCGGCGTAGTAGGCTGTTTTTAATGTATAGAATATTTGCTTCTGGGTTTATTATATAGCACTGAGAAATCAGTTCTCCAAAACTTCCAATTTCCTAAACATCTCAAAAGCTTCTTATAATCTTCTTTAAAAATTGTACATAACATTTAAGTCCACAATGGGAAGCTTTATATAATCAAGTCATTTGTGGTCATTCAGATTTTTACTTCTGTCTTTTGTAACTGAGAAGAAAATAAGTATGAAATACAAGAGGTTGCTCTTTTTGAAACAAAGTGAAATAACAATTTTCAGGCCTGAAATTGATACACTTAAAACACACACACATTATACACAAAACTATGCTAAAACATCATTGAGGCTGGCTGGCAATGTCTAATACTCAAAACTCAGGAAATGCTAAAATGAAGGGTGCCTGTATAAGCCTAATTCATCTCCCCTGTTATGTAGTGAATTTGGCACTTACATTACTGCATCAAGGCTGCTGGACTAAATAAGGGAATAATTAAATGCCCCTTTGTTTATGATAGCTGATATAGCTGAAAATCACTGTCCAAGGACCAGATTGCACACAAACCTGGGGAATGGCTGGGCTATCCAGTGCAACAAGGTATCTAGAGGTCTTATAACAAACACAGGATCAGGAGACTGATTTAACTATGTTTCTGTGAGCAGAAGCAAACAGAAGCAGAGAAAAAAAGTCCAAAGAAAAGCCAAAAAAGAGGCAAGAAACGTACTGCAACACTGCCCTGAAACAAGGCAAAAAGAGTTTTTAGTGGCTGACTTCGTAAACCTTAGTTATGTTTTTTGGTAGCTGGAAAGGGGCTTGGAACTATGAGAAAGGAAACTGCCTCCTATTTGATTCCTCCTGTGTTCAAAGAAATGCCAATTATCATCAGCAAAAACAAACTGAAAACCTCAAATATTGACTATTTGGGCCAGAAGGAGTAATATTATTAAACAGTCTTTTCCAAGCCAGTCCTGGTTTCACTCCTTTGTCCTTTATCTGGTCTGGCCTCTCTCATCAGTCTTCTTGTTGCAGTCTATCACTCCTTTATTGCCCCTCCTCCTGCTGCCATCTCTTTTCCCTACACTGAAATCAAACTACTTCTTCCATTCTGCCACCAGGACCATCGCTGAGATCACAGAAGAGACAGGAGCCTACTTCCCCTTGCTGTGCCTGCTCGTACCACAGCCAAGAACAGCCAGAAAAACTGGAACAGTGTGAGCCCCAATTTTCAAACTGGGACCGCTAAAGTAAAAAATCTGAAAGAGCAGCTTCACTGCCAGAGATGCTCAACACTCAATGGCCAAATCAGCCATTTCAAAGTCTGGTTTTGCCCTGGTTGCCCTGGGATGAAGCATGTTCAATGTGCAAAATTTAGTCAGCACTAAGAGCTGTGAGAGGCTCACCCATACTCGGTGAGGACAGATTCTTCCAAGGCAGGGCTGTCCATCTTCTACGCAGGCAGGGGCCATGTGCCGTGTAGGCCACACGCTCTTGGGGTCAGCCCCTAGGCCTCCCCCGCCACCAGCACCACACGCAAAGGCAGCCATTGCACTGTGCACATAGATAGTGCCACCCCCACACCATGTGCAACTTGGCCCCCACCTCAGCTGCCTTGCGGCACCACACCACAGGCTTTCCTGGTGCTGTGAACTGCACTTCCCTGCCCTCTTGGGCAGAAGCAGGAAGTGAAAGTTGAGGGAGGAAGAGGGAACCTAGGGCTTCTGGCTGCAGTCTTCTTCTAAGGTTTCAGCTGGTAAAAAAGAAAGTCTCAATCTCTATGCAACATCCTGTCTTTCCAAATACTCATTTCTAGTCTCTTTCCAGACCATCCCAGTGCCATCACATCTCATCTCCTGGTTCTGAGTCTCTAAATATCATGTGCAAACCGCATTTTTTCAAGGCTTATAACTTTACCAAACTTGGGCATATTTTCACAAGATGGTGAGGGTTTTTTGTGATCTTTCATTAGACCAACTGCACATTCCCTGAACCTTCAACAATGTTTTAACTCTGTCCCTCAACACTAGTGCAACAATACTGTAACTCAGTCCCTCAAACATATTTCAAATCCCTGATTAAATGTGTAGTGCCCACACACCCAAAATGAAAAATTCAAGCTTCAACAAAGAATGATTAAATTTGGAAAACCTTATTAAGCTACTGAAAACAGATTAGGTACTTAATAACAAGCAGTATTACCAAACCCACATATAATGTACAGGGACAAACACACACAATCTTCACTTGGAAAAATACGCTTTTCTAATGCTGGATTAACTAGAAAGTGGAAAGTAAAAATGTTTGGCAAAAAAATAATTCTTAGTGCTTGACTTGGAGAACACAATCCACATATTTGGAATTGTGAGTGCAAACTGAAGACACAGCTGTAATTAAAATACCTTAATGACAAAATACGATTATATTCAAGTTTTATTTGAACCAGATCTATTTCATAAAAGTAAATTAATTAATTAATTGCATCTTCCATGCCTTTTTCTCAGTGTAAGAGAACACAAAACAAGTTACTTTGCTCGTGTTACATTTTAATCTGATTTACAGAGGAAACTGATGTTATTCAATGCCAGTTAATACAAGAATACCTGCATGCATAGTACAAATAGCAAGATGAATATTGCCTACATTCAGTGAGGCTCACATTTCTTACCATTTTTCACAAAGACCATCTGCCTAATGAAATCAGTCTTCCTTCCTCCTCAAGTACTGCTTTGTATTACTAGTCCTGGATCAAAATAGTCTTTTAAAAGATTCAGCTATTTCTTTTTAATCATCACTATATTCAACCACAGCAGAAAAGGAAACTCAATCATACAGAATTTGCAGATTGCCTAATGTTGAAAATGAAATATCCTCTCATTTACTTAAGCAGATGACAAGTCCCACAGTTGAACTATATAGTTCAAACTTTACTAGAGCCTTCAAGTGCAAATAAGATATACAAGCTAAATTCTGCTCATCCACAATCTTATTGAAAGAACTGGTGTTACAGAGATGTAGTGGCATATCATTTAGTTCTATGCTTACAGAAAGCAATAAAAATTAACATCCATTTTCATGAACTGGTTAAATTGTGGAAGTGTCAGAAGTGGCTTTAAGTATACAGTTAATGTACACTGTGTCCCTCCTTCAAAGAAAATTAACCAACCTTTCTCAAGAGCTTTTTAGTTGATACCTCTAAATTTTCTCTTTTAACTTTAAGATTAACAAACCTTTCCCCTCAGGTCTGAAAGATCATCTTCTCCCATTATCTGCATATCTTCCATAGACTTATCGTTCTGAAAAAAAGAAAGGCAATACTGTGAAATTTCAGTTAACTGATTGTTAAAGGAGAAAATTAGTTTTGGATCTTCTGAGATCTCAATTATCACTACTTTATGCTAATATCAATGTTGATATTGGCAGAAACATTCCTTGAGCTTGTCTCTGTACTTTGTTTAGGTTAAACAATTTTCTCCTTAATGGCAAATGTCTTTACTAACTTTTCTCTGTCATTCATATGTGATACTGGTTTTGTTTCTAATTTCATCTATATGCAGCTTTAACTGAGTTGGACAAATTTTCTTAATATTTTAAGGAAAAGATGTTCTCATGTTGTTCATTCCTAGCTTGACAAATGTAAAACAGCATCATTGCTTCCATACTTTCACTTCTTTACCTCTCAGTACAAAAGGAAGAACAGAAACATATGCCCCCTTCACAACAAATACCTGTGACCTCTTTTTAGCAAAGTTTTAATATAGCCAAATACGCCAACAGGCATTACTTATGATGTATGTTAGGCTAGTTTAGAACAAATGCACTTGGCTAATTCTAGTAAATAAGAGAATCTGTGTGAATTTACCACCACTGTGTGATGGACTATGGGTTTTGTTGTGATAGTTGTTTTAAATGTGTTCATGTTGTAATACTGTTGCATGTTCCCTGGCTAACATGTAAATATTGCCCACCAGAAAATTAAAGGAAACAAGGAAGCCATTTTACATCCCAAGTCTGCAAATTCTCAGGAACTTGATTATCAACTTTCAGTTGTATACCAACTCATGTATATACACATAAACATAACATTGAAATCTTGATAATGTCTTTCAGTAACAGATTCAGGGACAGATCCAGAGGGTATGTGGCACTGCAATTGTGCTCTCAATTTTGGCTCTGCAATGCATGTGCACTTTGTGCAGTGAGTTCTCAGAGCTCACTGGCATGTTAGTGAAGCTCCTGGGAGCTCTTCATGTACTGTGAGCTCTGCGAGCTCACCAACTGGACTTCTAGGCAGCTCTGAAGCATGATGCTGTTGGGTCTTCTCCCTCCTCAGAGGAAGGAGAGGACAAGCAGTTGGCAGATATGCTTTCACAGAGCTCCAGAGGTTTTGTACCACTGTTGTTTGTCCCCTCTTCTTTCCTATGCTGCTGAATTCAGACAGTGAGAAGGAAGAGGAAGGAAGAAAAGAGCAAACAGGAGAAGGTGCCAGAGTTGCTTGAAAGCAGGGACTCCAGGCTGACCCACACATGCAGCACATGTGGAACTCCCAAAAGAAACTCCACTGACATGCTGGAGAGCTTAGGGAGGTCAGGAGCATCCAGGATCAAGGGGTTACTGTGTAGAATATGCACAATGAGCATATTTCACTGTGTACATGCCATGCAGCTCAAGGAGTTGTGGCTGCACTCCTGTCTCCGTCATCTTAGATCCACCTGTGCCTTTACTAAAATCTCTCCAGGTGTGGAATACAGTCTTCAGTAAGATGGGCTCCTTTTCCACTTCAATGCTTCAGTGTTAAGTAACAGAATTTATTCCAAACAGGCTGCTGAGAAATGTTGAACTCTTGGAGAGATGGAATATAAAACAAGCCACCTTCTAGGAAATAGATTTTTCTTTGATTTCAAGAAGTAAATTGGTCAAATGTGCATGCAAAGAGAGAATCATTATTAGTATACCCTAGGGCCAACTTTATCAGAATAACTGTAGTAGTTATTAAGAAAAAGTGAGATTTGCTCAGCTAAAAGATAATTACACAACAATTATTCTGTGGACAGTAGTATTTCTGGGTTAAAAACTGAAAACAGGAAAAGAGAATTAGATGAGCGAGAAGAGAAATTAATAAAAGAGGATATTTTTTAAACTTAAAAATCTCTTTAAGCAATTTTACACCTACTTCCTTTGCAGTTTGGTATTTTGGGCTTCAACTGTAAGAAAGATGCTAGAGTAGCAGCAGAATTGCTGGTAAACAGTTTTCCAAGTCTAAACACAAGAATTTTTCAGAGCACAGGGATTACAGTAGCCCATCAGAAACAGAGAACTGAATATTCATAGATCATTTACTGTCACAACTGTGCATAATTATGTAAAAACCTGTGCTATTACTAGCTAATAACTACTGTCAGGTACAATGATAAGTATTCAGTCTATCTTCTGGGAAATATCCCTATGGCAAATATGCAACTCACAGTCCCAGGACCAATCTGGGTGTATGAAATCATAAAAATTAAAAAAAAAGGAAGACAGTCATGCATCACTACTGTGTTATCCTTTGGCTGGGACAATTCCATTTGAGAACAAAAAGATGATCTATTTTTTAAAAATCATAAAAATATTTTCACTTTCATGCAGTCAATTTATAGCTCTAATAAAAATATTACCCAGAATGCCATTGCATCAAAAAACATGATATTGTAAAAATCATAATGCATTCAGAAAATGAGAAAGAGTTATGGTTGCTATAGGAACCTCCCTTTGATTTTTCTCACTTTCAGGTTTTAGAATCTCAGATTAACATTGCACGTAGTTTTAAGAGTCATATACTATGAGCTTACTTCCCACAACCACAGATATCAGAGATGAAACATCTATTAAAATATTCAGTACAACCCCACATCCATTCAAGATTATTCTCTACAGCACATTTTTAATTGCTTTACCCTGTGTAGTTTTAAAAATCTCCAGCAGTAAGGTTCTCTCTCCTTCCATTTGGGAGATAATCTCAGTCTGATACAACTCACTGATAAAATGGTGCCAACAGGGTCCTACACAGAGTTTTCTAGTGGTTCACGTTGCAGGTCTTTCTCATAAATTTCTCTCTTAAGACCCTTCAACATTATGTCTTCTCTGAACTGGAAGGAGTTCAGAGGGAAGGAACTTTTTCCTGCTAAAGTATTTAAGACTAAATGCAGTATATCAGGTGGAGTAATACTAAAGCCACAGACTCCAACTTTGAGCACACAGCCCCCAAACTATACTGGCCAACTTTTTAACAATTTACATTACAGTCACAGCTAACTTGGGTCCATTCTCACCCTTAATCCTTATTCAGTATAAGATTTTGTATTCATATTTCAGATTATTTTCCCCCCTGGTATATTAACATGTCTTTTTCCAAACTAGGTCTCATTTGCTTGATGCTCTTTTATTTTTGTTATGTATATCTTTATTATTATGTGATTGTATCTATTTGGGGGCACCTCAGAGAGAAAACAGAATATTTCTATGGCCACCTTCCCTTCTCCGAGTTTTCAGTGTAGCACTCTGTTTGACTTAGATGCTGACTGGCAGTACAGCCTTATAAATTCCATCTATACTGAGTCACGTCCTTTAAAATGGGCAGGGCAGGGAATTATTACAGTTCCTTCACCTCTCTAGAGACTAGTGCCTGGCTTTAGCACAGGCTACAAGTGAAATGAGCTGGGTGGTCTCACAAAATTTCTTGTAAACAGCATTGCTCATATGAAAACTGCAAAAGGAAGTGCACATCTGCCAGTCTGCACTTAATGAATAGGATCTGGATTACATAGGTACTGTACTTGCAGATGAAACCCACTCTAACCATGCCAAACAGACAGCTCCAGCTAATCAGTTCAAAGTTGAATCTGTATTATAAAACAGGAACAAGACAACTTCATGTTCATCCATTTTCCTACAACCTGGACAGTTCATTCGTATTTTTTTGCAAAATGCTGGTTAGTTTTGTGCTCATAAAGGTAAAACTGTGTTGAAACCAGAAGGGCTTGATCCTTGCCTATATTCCACCTGTTTTGCAGTGCTGTACTAATAGATCACCTAGAAATCTGGTAGGTCTGTTAAGCTAAGAATTCCCTCAGTTAGGACTGTATTGTTTTGCACCCCCAACCTGTTTTCTAGCATTGGGGGATTCTCAGGGAAAAGGTGATGGTCAACAGATTCTGCTGATTACCCTTTGGGGCATCAGACAGCTGGATATAATTTAGAAGAGTTACAAGGCCATTTTAAATTATAATTCATTAAAGATTATCCTCTTTCCCAGCCCCCCCCCCACCCCGTGGTCCCAGAATCAGAGAAATGCAAAAGTAAATTAAAGCCAGCTTTTCTCCCTTAGCTGAACTGAGTATATTATCTTGGTCACAGAAGGGAATCTAGCTGACATCTAGTATTTATCCTCATAGTAAGTATAGCATTAACAACATCACAGAAATATTCTCCCACTAACAACCTCCAATTCTAGCTTAATGCATCCGCCAGCTGAAAAGCAGGGATAATTCATAATCTTCACATGCTAAGTCCTCACTTTCCATCTTCCATTAGACTTTTCAGCTATGGTGGTTGAAGCTATTGCTACTGTAATGGGGAGTTCTTTGATTTTGACAACTGCTTATTAGGAAACAGACGAAGACCACCAACTTATTTGACAGAGACCACACTAAACACCATCTGAAGGAAATGACTTTCTGTCACTCCTGACATGGGGCAGATTAGACACAAGAATATCAAGGTGAAAGACTGTTTCTCATTACTAACATCCTGAACTACTCAGTCTATGTACAAGAGCTCTGCTACACATAAGCCTTTCCCCATCACTTTCCTTCCACCATAGGATATTTCTGTTGTATCTTTACCCTATGATTTCTCTTTAACCTAAATGAACTGTGTAGAGACCCAGCAAATCTCATTCTTGTTCAGACTTACATTGAGAATAAATATTTCTTCTTGTATAGCCAGCAGGGCCTTTGCAGCGATGAAGCAGTGGTTTGGAAATTACAGGTATTTTAACAGTCTTTGACAGTGGACGATTAATAGGTTGTTCACAGTCTACATTACCAGGACATGAATATAAAATTATTTATAGCTTCTCACTTAATTTTGAGTTTCTCTGAAAAATTTAGATGTGTGGTTACATGTGTGAAAATCTCAAACTCTGGACTGTTAATATTACTGCAGGGCCCACAAGAGTTCTAGACATTCTATGCTTTGATAACATCTTAAGGGATGCCCATAACCGTATCCAGAAATTATTTTCCCCAAACTTAGT